GGGGGGGTCAAGAAGTCTTTGGTCTAAATATGAAGGAATAAATATACAGCTTTGTATCTTGGCACATATACTTTTATTTTTCTAAATAGTCACCACGCAGAGTAATACATTTCTGCCACCTCTCTTTGGCCTTCAAACGTCTTTGAGAAAAAAATGACCCTGAATGGGCCTCTAACTAGTCTTCCTCAGCTTCAATGGCGTCCTCGTTGTCATGGAAACGACGTTCTTTCAGTGATTTGTATTAAGATTAGGAAACAGAAAAAAAGTCTGAAGGGGCTAGGTCTGGTGAATAAGCTGGGTGTGGCAGGATTTCAAAACCGTCCTGTTCTGCAGGGGCGTTGTCATGCAGTAGGAGGACCCCATTACGGAGTGTTCCACGCCTTTTCATCACCAGCTCGGACCGCAATTTTATCAGCAAACCCGAATAGTAGTCTCCTGTGACTGTGTTTCCATTGTCCAGGTAGTGAGTCATGATGGTACCTTCCCAATCCCAGAAACACGACAGCATGACCTTTCCACTTGACGGTGTTACCTTTGCCTTCTTTGGTGAGGGAGAAGAAGGGTTTTCCATTGCAAGGAGGACATTTTCTGTTCTGGATCAAAATGATAAATCCATGTTTCATCCATAGTCACCATATTTTTAAAGAAATGTGTGTCACTGTACACAAATCGAAGGAGAGTTTTGCAGGATTCAACCCTCTGCTTCTTTTGCTCACTTATCAAAAAGCGGATAATCCACAACACAGACACCCTATTCAAGTTAAGATGGTCTTGGAGAATCGTTTCAATTGACCCTACACTGAGAGCTGTTTAACAGATATACGTCGGTCTTGTAAAAACAGTTTCTTCACTATGGATACATTCTCTTCAGTTACTACAAAGGATGGGCGCCCTTCACGATCTTCACCCATCAACAACATGGATCCAGATTTGAATTTTCTAACCCAGTATATCATAGTATTATAACGAGGATATTAAAAAAGTGTCACCATAAACTTAGACCATTTCCTGGAAACATGTTCAAAAAGGATTTTCCTTGCAAGTGTAAAATTTTGAAAACAGAGCGATATCCAACAGACTCCATGGCACAGCTTCAGCAAAGTAAACCAAATGTTTTTGTGCATGGTTTCATTGAACACGCTGACCGGTGCCTTAGTATTGTTGCATTTTCTCGACAATTTGTGTAGTGTGTTCTAAAGACAATGTCTAAAGGAAGGAGAAATGTTTTACTGATTGCTTGTCTGTCTGTCTGTCTGTCTGTCTGTCTGTCTGTCTGCCTGTCTGCCTGTCTGTCTGTCTGTCTGTCTGTCTGTCTGTCTGTCTGGGCAGAGGAAGCTGATCTCCCCCAAGCTGTTCTGTTCTCCTCCCTCCACAGTTTCTACTTTTTCTCGGCCTTCAACAAGCAGCTGAGACGGCGAGTGTACCGGCGAGGCGGCGGGA